AATAATTGGCCTGTAATCTTCATGGTCATGATGGTGAAGGAAAGACTGAGGAGCTCTTCCATAATGAAGAAGACTAAAGAAACATGACTAAATGCAACACGTAATTCTAAACCAGATCCTTTTGCTCAAAAAGACATGGTCAGGACAACTAGAGAAAGTCAAATGGGGTCTGACTGGTAGTAATGAATCAATGCTGGTTGCCTGATGTTGAGCATTGTGTTCCAGTTATGCAGAAGAATGTCTTTGTTTCAAATACACACTAAAATACAAGGGAGTTAATAGAGCATCACGTCAGCAACTTGCTCTCAAATCATTCAGCAAAAGAACAGTTTTCTGTTTATACTTGCAACTTTTCTATAAGTTGGGGTTATTTCAAAACATTTTTAAATGAAAACATAAAACAGTGTGTGGCGTATGATATCATTTATATCATGTTAGTCTGTTAGTGGATGGATGAGTCGGTGGCAAGAAGGAAAGAAGGAAGGAAGCGAAAGGTAGGGGAATGGATAGAAAGAGAGAAAGAGGGATAAAATAGTTTGGAAGAGCATATACAAATGTTAATAGTAACTCTTCCTATATGATGGGAAAATATTTTTGTTTTTGTTATTATTGTTCTCCGATTTTTTTCAAGTTTTCTGAATTGACCAGTTTTCTTTTATAATGGAGGCAATAGAGGTGGAGGAAATTTGTTTCTAAAAAAATGCATCCTCTCTATTGCAGACATCATTGATTAGCTGATTCATTCCATCCACAAACTCTTCCTTCTCTTTTGCTAACTTCCAGCTGGCCAGCTAGGGATAAACATGTGATCCATCCAGGCCCATGAAACAAGAGCAGAAGCCTGCGGAGAGGGGGCCAGAGCTCTTGCCTTCAGGATAAAAAGGGATATATTTAGCAGCCAAGTGCCTTCACATTTTTAAAAGCTTTCTTGAGACATAATCCACATAAAATTTACTCATTTAAAGAGTAAAATCAATGATTTTTAATGTATTCATAGAGTCACACAACAATCCTAACCATATTCATTAGCAGTCACTTTCCACAATCCCAAGCCCCTCCCCAGCTTTAGGCAACCTCTAATCTACTTTCTGTCTCTAGATTTGCCTAATCTGGATATTTCAAATAAGTGGAATCACAAGATAGGTGATCTTTTGTGACTAGCTTCTTTAACTTGGCAGAATGTTTTCAAGGTTCATCCACGTTGTAGCATGTATCAGTGCTTCATCCCTTTTTATGACTCAGTAATGTTCTATTGTTTAGATATCTATCCATTCATCAGTTGATGGACATTTGGGTTTGTTTCTACTTTTTGGCTATTATGCATAATGCTGCAATGAACATTCACGTGCAAGTTTTTGTACTTATGTATGCTTTCATCTCTCTTGGATATATACTTAGGAGGAGAATTACTGGAACATATGATGACTGTATGTTTAATATTTCGAGGAACCACCAGACTGTTCTGTAAAGCATCTACGTCATTCTTCACTCCTGCCAGCAAGGTATGAATGCCTTCACATTTTGTCCTTCCCTTTGCCTTCCTGCCCAAACACAATCCTGATGCCTGAAAGTACAGATGCCAGCTCAAAACTAAGGCACACAAACACAAAGATTCTGAGGATGACTGAACAGAAAGACACAGTCTGGATTTCTACCTACCTCCAAACTTCCTATTATTTGGGAGGAAAAAACTCTATACAATTAAGCTACTTTAAGTGGGGTCTTCTGTTAGTTACAAAGAAAGCAGACCTATGATGGCCCCAAACATACATCATTGTATTGAGAGAAAGAAATTTCTTCTTGATCTTTATATACTAATTTATAACAAAACTACATTTTAAAAAAGTTAGAGTTGTATGTGATGTGTAAATTGTCTTGAAATTTTGAGATAAACGAATGTATTTTCATTTGGTTTACTCAATTTTTATGAAATTTCTTTGTTACTATTCAGCTAGTGTAATTAATCTTAATAATGACCAATATTTGAACTAAGTAAGCAAACTAGTAAACAAGACTATGCTAAGCACTTTACAAATTAACTCATTTAGTCCTCTCAACAACTCTGAGGTAGGTAATACTTCTATTCCCCTTTTACAAATAAAGAAACTGAGGCACAGAGAGTTTAAACTTCTTGCCCATGTCACATGGCTAGTGTCAGAACCAGCATTCAGTCAGGCAGAATCTCTGCCTGACCCTACAGTGTGTCGCCTCCACTGTACACCACTTTAGCAATTTTACAACAGGAAATTAATCATTAGTAGTCCAAAAATGTATACAGGTAGATGTGTGTGCCTGTGTGTCTTCACTAATGTTATACACTACTTTCATGGCGAGATGGACAGTAACTGAACAAAAATTTTTTTAGCACCCACTATACGCCAGATATTGCACAAAATATTCAATAAGTGTTATCTCATTAAATCCTCCTAACCACCAGGAAGATAATGCCATCTTCATTTACAGGCAAAGAGTCTGAGGCCCAGTAAAATTAAATAAATTGCTCAATTTCACACAACTTTTGTAACTAGCAAAGCTGGATACAAAATCAAATCTGCTTTGTTCAAAGCTAATGCTCTTTCTGCTATACCATAATGCTTGCCTATTTAGATTATTCATACACTTAAGTTATAAACTTAACATGACTACATAAGCTGTTATGGCTTTATATTTATTACGCTCATTATTATCTGTTGATAACCACTCATATACTTTAACTGTCTGAAAACATTTTCCCATCTTTTCAGCTAAAATATCTGAAACTTCTTCTTCTAGGATACACTTTAAAATGAAAACACATTGCCTGGAAAAGATAGTATATTAACCCTTCATCATGTTTTGAAAGAATTATTCTATAAGCCCAGCTAGTCATCTCTGCAGAAGGTCTACGCTGATCATTTCTGTACTAGTGCAATAATACTCAATTATCTGTCCAGACCATATCCTTTCTAATACTCTTCAGGACTTCGATAAATTAATTATTCTTCCCTTCTAAGCAACAATCACTTTCTCTTCCCTAAGTAGTGTTTTTAGCCAACAAAATTTAGAGGCTTCCTAAAAATAAGTTTCCCTGAACTTGCTATTTCCTCACACTACTGGAGGTACAACCAGGTCTAACATTAAAGACAGCTCTGTTCCTGGAGGAAGGCAAGCACTTACAGTCACCACTCTTGGGCTACCTTCTACTTGATAGGTCTTACCTATACATATTTTTATCACAGTCTCAATAATAATTGTGTCAATATTTTAACTTAAATGTGTTGCAAGGAACCACTTTGGGAAAATGTGCTCAGGGGGAATCACTGCCTCGTTTTATAAAACCTCTACAATCTGATCCCATGCCAATGATCCACCATCTCCCACTACTCCCCAATATGTTTATAATAGAAAATACATTTGAGTAATCACTATCTACAAGCCAGGGCTGCTAGGCATGGACTTCCATTCTCATCTCTTTAACGTCCCTTCCTCCCATTCTACACTTACTCCTACCTTTCCATCTCGGCTTAAGCTATGCCCTTCATCTGAATACCATCTCTCCTCTCTAGCGTACTATCATTCTAGGCCCAACTACATCATTAGTTCCTCCCTGAAGCCTTCTCACTTCTCACAAGCCCACACTGAGCTGCACCTTCTATGGTTTTTTACTTTTAAAGCCTGTACTTCCTCATCCAGCCCTTGATTACGTTCTGCCTAAAGTTGTTCATGAGTTGTCGTTTTTGTTCTATAACCGTTGTGTGCATTTTCCAGAGGTCCAGATCAAGCCACATATTTTTCTTTTATCTCCTAAAGTATAGATAGCACAATAATAAGGAAAAAAATATATTAAAGTAATAATAAACAAGATTATAGCTTAAGAAATGAATCTACTTTTAAGTGTTGACGTCCTACAAAGAATATGGCTAACACAAACCATCTGTTCATTAAAATAAATCCAAAACCTTTTATTAAGTTCTTTTAAGAACGTAACAGTTTTGCTTTCAAGTTATAATACCAACATCCTTACAATACATTTATTTAGACTTTTATTTCAGACTCCAAACCCAGTACGTTGAGTTTTTGCCAATACATGAAATATGCACATTGCTTACCAACATCAATGGCCACAACCTAAAAATAATCTTTGAATCATAAGTTTTCTACTATAAGAGGCTAGGTTTAGATATTTGAAATCATAATAAATGATCTATATTTACATGGCAGAGTTGTCTAAAGAATTAAATTACATCCTAATTATTATTTCATTAATGCTTACAATATTTCATTAAGCAGGCAACTATTAAAAAGTCCATTACACTATTTTTACTATTAATATGTCTGAAATAACCATAATTAGCCCAATGACATAGCTTAACCAGTAGGTAACTGTACGTTATTCTTTTAGGGTAGAGAAATTAGTTTTCATTGAACCTTTCACATAAACATATCATGCAATCTGAGCCATGAAAAAATAAACTTGAATTTTAGACCTTTGGAAATCACTGATTATAGGTGGTTCCACATATGGTGGAAAAGAGCAGACCATTCAACTAACGCTATTTAAAATTAATTAGAAAAATTAAAAACACTTCACCAAATGAGAGAGAAAAGTTTTCTACTGGTTCAGTTATTACTTAAACTTCTAAAATTTACAGCCAGAAATAGAAAAAAAAGAAGACTAAAACATCGAAAGAATATTACCAGTATTACTTAAAAAAAAAAAAAGCAAACCATGAGCTTTCCACAGGAAAATCAGATCACAAAGGAAAAAAAAAAAATGTGGATACATTAACCAAGAAATGCCACTAAATAATTTCCCCATAAAGACAAAATTACCCATCAAAATTTACATTAATTCTCTACTCATTAAATATCTATTTAACAATCTCTCTGAACCTGAATAAAAGAAAGATGAGAACAAATACATTTTCTTCCTAGATGGTTTATTAGAATTTGTACCATAAAGCATTTCTCGACATTTACTTTTAACTGTATTTGCAAGGACATAAAAGAGAGAATCACACCTGTTTTACTGATAATGTCCTGTAACTCAGCCATGGAAGTGATGATTGCAGCTAGAAGGTCAGAACTGGTGAGCCAGCTGAGCGCTTGCACACAACGTAACTGCTCCTTTTGATGTTCTGCAAAAATGAGGAAAAACCATTATGCAACACTACAAACATTGATGGAAATCCATGTTTCAAATTCAGTGTTTAGCTATTTAAGAAATAGATCAAAATTTGCAGGCAGAGCTTTGCCTGGTGCAGAAAAGTCTACAAGAAATGTTAGATTTGATCAACGCTACTTATTTACGTATATATATAACTGTTAACTGATATTTTAAAAAAAAGAAAAGAAAATTTTCTTTAGTTCTACTTATAGTACTTAATAGCCTACTTTTTAAAGTTAAGAATTGAAATCATTGTTTCCTCAGAATAGTCAAGCATTAAAAAAAAAAAATTAGCTGGAAAGTTTATATGTGTGTCATTTGCATTCCATTCTTCAATAGATTTTTAACTCTGATCATTTTATACTCATTTATAAAAAGTCAAAATAAATTATACTGCTGATTAATTTTAAATAGGGCAGAATCTCTGGATTGGCTTAATGGAAAAATTACTGTGTAAACTCCACACTTTACTATGAAAAGAGCATTCAAACATAAAGAAAGCTAGACAAACTTGAAATCATATATATTTACTACTCTATATTTTAATTTTTATAATAAAATATCAAAACCTAATTTATACATAAATATACATTTATCCATACACACATACATATCTACATACGTATGGGACTATGTTGCATGATTTGACATCATAAACGATTTTTTTAAATTTTTTCCATAATGGCCAAACATATTCACATTATATGTCACTTATACTCAACTTAGATTTTTAAAAGCACAAATTATCTTACTTGGAAATTTATGCTTGTCTTTGGGCTCTCCTGTACACACTAACATGCCTATGCCTTCTTTGAAACTTTCCAACCATGTAAAAAGAGAGGCACACGATTGGCCCAAAATCCTGAGTCTGTTTGCTGCCAAAATTGCAATAACAGCTTTCCGGAAGACACGTATCAATCCTTTGAATGGTTTTTTCTTCACCTTAGCTTCCTCTTGCTTCTTTTCCTCTACAGATGACAAAGCCTGGGCTAGAGTTCTGACTTCCAACTTGAACAACTCAAAGGTGTTGACCTGCTCTTGGAGAAAATCTCTCTGTGTAGATAAGGCACATGATCGTCTATAGAGAGGATACAAGGCACCAGCCATCAATGCACAAGCCGCCAGCAAGGATGTTTGCTCCCTTTGAGTCTGTGATAACACGTTTTTGAAGTGTGAATTTTCAAGAACCAACTGTTCATGTGACTTTTCAATACGATTCAATTTTTCCATATTTTTTTCAGCAATTTCTTGAAATTTCTATAAAAAGAGAAGTCAAATAATGTATCAGATCATGAAACAAATAAGCATTTTATTAATTCCTCTTTATAGAAAGTAAACAAACTTTTACTGACAACTACTTTTTTCTTCAGAAGATGCATGTTCTAAAACATCCAAAAAATACATGTAATAGAGCGACAGTGGGCCAGCTTGGATCTGAATGTGCACATTGATTTTTAAATCCTGTTACATAGAAGCTTTACATAAAGTAGAACACATAAATTTAAAAGTACTTCATGAATTTCCTGTACCTCATGCATAAACACACACAGTAAGAAAAAAATTTCTCCTCTTCCATTCCCTGTAATTTCTCTTCTTCCATTCCTCACCAACTTGTATTTCCACTTTAAACAGAAGTTACACCACCAATAGAGGCTTTCCTATATGTAAAAAGACCTTACTTTTTGCCAAAATAAGCAAAGGGTTAAATCAATGATACAACACACAGCACTTGACTGTCTGAAATTAACTAGACGAGAGGGGACTGACTTTCAGAGCATACACACTTCTTGGATTTCTTTCTTACTTCCCCCAGACAGAAGGCTGTACAAGGTACAGCTCCAGCAGTGGCAGGAAATACTATTTGTGAGCTGGGCCTCAGCAGCTCTCTGGTCCTTTTTTCCTAATCAAGGCACTTACAGTCCAAAACTTAATTTGAAACACAAAGAAATTTTTACTGCAGACACCATATTTTCATCACTAGAAAACAATCCAGTTCTCCATGAAATCTTATGCCTAATCATTAAGGAACTGCTGAGGCAGAGTAAATTTTAGAAGATAACAAGTTCACTTTCCTTTACTGATTCCTTTATCATTCAATGAACATTTATTGATTACTCACTAAATTCCTTGTGCTAGGAAAATAGACAAGTAAATCAATTATTGTGGTATAAAGCTATGATAGAGGTATGCCAGATTGCCAGAGGTGCACAAAAGGGTGTTTACACAAAATGACGTTGACAGTCTTTTGGAGGGACATGACAAAGGACAAGTGGGACTGTGGTATGCAGTAGAAAGAATAAAGAAAAAAAACCCTACTCTACCAATAAGGAAACTAGCCAATAGCTACCCTATCATAATTTAATCTAACGTGATTTAACAGCTTCTTTTGGATCTTTATTTAGCCAGGCGAGCTGCCCTGACTTGGTCATGGACCCTTCTTTTTAAAAGCAGGCCAAGGGAGTTCAATTTGAATAAGGGGGTCAGCTGGAGACAGAGAGAAATTGTGTTCTGTATATGTATGGCAAAGTGAAGTGTTGTGTTCATTATGAGAGAATCCTTTTAGGGGCACTAAGGAAAATATTTCTCTTTGTATCATTGGTTCAGACTGTAATCTGTCTTAAATTTAATGTTGATCTTTGAGAGAGGTTTATGGTGAGTCCGTGTCTGATGCAAGAGTGACCCACTGAACAAGAAGAAGAATCAAAGGCATTTCTGAAATTTACATTGGCAGGAAGACTCAAAACTGATCAGACTTGGAGCAAATCATACAAACTCTTGACTACTCTGCAAGATTTGGGTGTCGAAGCCTACCACGGACAATACTGATAGGCAGACGCCAAAAAAAGTCAAAGTTGTATAAATACACTGCTGAGGAAAGTAACTCCTGGCCAAAATCAATCCTAAGGCTAGGGGATGAGGTTTCCCAAAGGTGGATAGTGAGTAGAAGGAGGACTCAGAGGTACAGTCCTGAGTACAAAAGAGTAACAAAGTATTGAAAAGCCACTCTCAGAGGATTCAACTTCTTAAATGCTTTCCCTTGGGCAGGGAAAAAGTATATTTTAGACACAGTTTTAAACGTTTCTATACTATACTTTAATACCCTTTATATACTCCAACTCTCCTCAAGTCTGATCCAGCCATACCTGTGGTAGTACTACGGGAAATAAAGGAATGGAGAAATAAAGGAACTGTGGCTTACCCCTCACCACCTCTCCAGTGACAGCCAGGCTGCGGCAGCAGCATCCTGTCAACGGGACTGTGTCCCAGAGCTCCACGTGAACACCACTAGCAAAGGAAGCAGAATCCCACCAGGAGCAGCTGAGAGGAGCAAGAAACTCTGAGAAGCACTAGCCAGGCGACTGCTTGGAAGAAACCCTTGGAGAGACCCTTCTAAGGGAGGCCACCTTGAAGAAAAGGGAACACTGACACTTTGGGCGTAGCTAGAGAAAGCAGGGAAACTAGCTTGTGGAAAAGTAAGAGCCAGAAAACAGAATAATGTCTTCCAAAGAAGTACAAATAGTTCAGAATACATGAAGAAAAGAGGCGACTGATGGAATTTGAGAAGTAGGTAGATAATAGATGAGTAAGCTAAGGAATTTAAACTTCATCCAGAAAGCTATGAGAAGCCGTAAAATCCTGGAAGAGTCACTAAGCTTTAGTAAATGGACGGGAGAATTGGAAACATTAATAAAGACTGCCAAGAGGAGCAGCAGAGTTGCAAGGAGTCGGGGTAGAATGAGAGGAGTAAAAGGAAATTACAAAGGCTACTTCTATATTCTCTCCAAAATCAATTCCACCAGTTCAATTAAAGGAAAATTATAGAAAATCTAGGATAAAAGAGGCACACTGGTCATAGTTAGGCAGTGGAAATAAAAATGAACCTGATCAGGTTCTAGGTGGCTGCCTATTTACATATTTACAAATCTCAAAGGCTCAAGCAGAAGTGGATTTTCAACAAAAATTACCTTTTTTGAATAACAAAAAAAACAGTGAAAAGATATATTTGCTAGTGATATTTTAAGTATTTCAAAGTCATTGGTCAAAATCAAATGGATTGTTGAAGGAGAGCTCAAAGCAAAGTAAGCCCATTACAGAGAAGATTTAATTCTAGCACATGATAGATCTCAGTCTCTTCTACCGCATACAGCTGGTCCACTTCCAAAGACCATCAGGTTAAAGCTAAAGGCATTTTAGAGAGGCAGCCAGAAACAGGCAGGCCTGGGGTAAGGATGAGAGAGTAATCAAAACATGGCTAGAAATGGATAAAAATCTAAAATACATTACAAAAAAAATCCACTTCTCTCTCTGCAGAGAAAACAGGAACACACTGGAATTTTTGAAAAACAGAACTGAGATTCTGGACTTACACAATTAGTGTTCATTTTAGGCTACCTACTAGAAGTAGCAGTGATGTAATAAAGCAATTTTTGAAGAGTCTCGTGTCATTTTATGGCTGCCAAATTTTGATCATTTGTAGTAATTATATATTAAAAAGTGCTGATTAATATTAATTATTACCACTAGAGATGATTTCATGAGACTCTTCGTATAATTTGTATTGTAAGAAAGAGAAGCCATTCACAAATTGCGAAAAGAACAAAAATAGGGCTAAGAATACACGTGGAGTCTGTTTATAAACAAAAAAAAAACCTTCAAAGATCGTTTAGTTATCTAACAACCATCTGTTGTCTTAAATCATTCTTGGTTTAAGTAATTATAAACAAGATATCAAGTATCAAGGCTTATTTTTTTAAAATTCAACCAGGCCAATATTCAACTAGATAACTAGGATTAGCAGAGTGGGCTATTTTAATTAAAGATTTAAAACTAATGAAATTAAACATTTAAGTTTTTAAAGCTCTTATTGACAAACAGTAGTTTAACAAAAAAACAAAACCTCACTAATATTAATACCTAATGAGAGTTTTGTTAATTTCTTAACAATTACATTTCTGCATCCCTGGCATCTCCACTGAAATCCAGAATCACAGATCTGACTGCCCGTTAAGCATCTCCACTTAGATATCTCATAGCCATCTCAAGCTAAAATACCAATCCAATACTGTTGACTTTCCCCTAACCATGTTCAGAATAGTCCTTTTTATATAAGTAGACAGCACCAACATCCAGCCAGTTGTTTCAGTCAAAAACTTTATAGTCAGTCTTAACTCCTCTTTCTTTCACTCTATCCTCTGCATTCCTAAATCAAAGCCATCAGCAAGCACAGTTTGGTTTACCTACAAAATACATCCAGATCCATCTCTACTGCTACCACCCTAGTTCTAGCTATCATCACCACTAGTATTCATGCTGGTGTTGCAATGCTACCTTCATGTCAGATTATATTGCTCCTGCCTAAAACTCACCTATCAATTTCCAATATGCTTATAGTAAAATATCAAAATATATTATATTTTGTATATATTTACATGTGTATGTATTCTTACATAAGGAAGTATCCCTTGATTCTTATTTATTAAGTGTTTTTGTCAGGAATGTGGGTTAGATTTTGTTAAAGCCCTTTTCTGAGAGATAATCAAGTTATTTTTATTCTTTTGTTTCTATTAAAATGTCAAAATATAATAATGGATTTCCTAATATTGAACCATCCTTGCATTTCTAGAAGCAAATCTACTTGATCATGATTTATTATTTTCTTAATAAGATGTTAGATTCTGTTAAATGAGACCCATCTTTAGTATTCTTTGTTCTAACTTTAGCAGGTTATGTATCAATATTGTAACAGTATGTAATTCTCAAATGTAAAACTACCTTTGATGTATATAAATGTATATGTGTGCATGTGTGTGTTTGTGCAGATATAGGTAGAGATAGAAAGAGAGACATTCTAAGGTCAGCATCTTAAAAATCAAGAAATACCTAAGGTACTCTTACCAAGTTTAGGAGCAAGGCAAGTACTAGTATTTAACATTGTACTTGTGGTGTTATTAGCCAATGCAGTTAGGCAACAAAAAGCAATTTGAGACATATGAATTGGCAAAGAAGAAGTAAAACTACCTCTATTTGTAACTAAATCTAGAAATCCCAAGAAAACCAATGATATAACTAAATAACTCAAACAGTAAAAAAAGTTCAATTAAGTTAGAGAATATAACATTAACATGCAAAAATCAATAGCCTTTTGTTCTTAGCAGCATTATTGACAATAACCAAAAGGTGAAAAAAATACAAATGCCTCTCAGGGGATGAATGGATAAACAAAATGTGGTATGTCCATACAATAGAGTATTATTCAG